AAAAAAAACTTTAAAAGTTAATTTAATTACTAATAATTTAGTAATTAAATTAACTTTTAACCATCACCAAACTCTTTTTCGGAGCCCATTTTCACACAAATTTCTGAGATTTGCGAATAAATTTTTCACTAATTTAAAACTATTAAAGAGCTTATTAAAACTATTGAAACTACTATTTTATATATTAATACAATTTAAAATATTATATAAGAGCTAATTTAAAACTATTTAATATGAGTAAACAAAAATTGCATTTTATGTTGTCCAGCCAGGTGTTCCACTGCCTGGCCCCCGCATTGGGTAATGAGTGATGTATACTTTACTTCTTCATTATACTGACATGATGCTTTAGATAGCTCTTGCACATATTTGTCGCGAGATCCTAAACTACTATACGTAGAAAGCCAAATTTCGAAGCGCGGTAAATGTCAGCCAATCAGAATAATCCAAGTATCACACTATCATCGGGCGATGTACGCGTCTGACTCACGCTGAGTGTGAGACAGATCTTTTATACACCTTGTATAAATGAAATAAGACTATATGAATTTTAATCGTACGTTTGTACATCGTCACAATCAGTCCACTTTTCTCAAAGAAAGACAAATTTTTTAAAATCAATAAGTTAAAACTTGTGACCGACTATGTTATTATATGGCCATTTTGATTCGGTATAAATACAATTTCGTCATGATTGCTACGTGCTACGACGTAGACTATGATCAACTGACAGTGAACTTGATTACGTCATATACTGCTACGATAATTTACAAGCGTAGCATGACGAACTCAAGGTACGGGCTTACCAATCATGATACGCGAGACCTATTAGAAATGCAAGCTCGATACGCCGATGCTACACGGCCATGCAAATTGCCCACGGACGACATGTGCATTGCATTTTATAGCAATTTTGCAGATATATATGTTTATTTTTTTCGACTCACACTTGACCGGTTTTTTTAATTTAATTTGTTTAGACCAGTAGCTCAATTCAGCAGATCAAAGTGCCATCGCGTATGTATAAAAACTATTCTTAACCATTTCGGGTTTAATTAAACACTAAAGTACAATATGATTTCTTTTTATTTATTTTTTATTTCAAATTTTATTTATTTATAAGTCAATAACGCCATCTGCAGTTACCGTACTACAGTTGTCTACTAGTATAAAGCACACTTTAAGAACATGGCTTATAATAGTTCTTTAGGCGATTACCAGGTGGCGTGATAATAGTTAAATCAATATTAGCATCTAAATTTTAACAACAATAAACAGAATATAGTTTTGGTTTTCATTAATAATATTATCCTATTAATATTATAAAGACGAAAGTTTGCAGGTTTGGATGTTTGGACGTTTGTTACTTCTTCATGCATAAAATACTGGACGGATTTTGATGAAATTGGTATGCAGGCAATTCTTAGTCTAGATTAACATATAGGCTATACTTAAAGGTTTCCTAGGGATAGAAGTACCTCCAAGGGCGCCTATTTAAGTGAACGATGCTTTAACGGTAAAATATATACGAATGACCTTCTTCTAAAGAAAAGTTGGAGAGCTTTAAATTATCTATAAAAAGCCAGTGATGGCATATTAACACGTTCGTTGTATGGCAACCCTTAAATAATTATTTTATTATATTTTTTGGTATTTATTATTGCAGCGCCAACAAAAATACATTATCTGCAGAAATTTCAACATTCATGGTTCATGAGATACATTCTTATAAACAGATACAGCCTGGTGACAGACGGACAGACAGACTGAGGGACAGTGGAGTCTTAGTAATAGGGACCCATTCCTTTGTTCTAAAACCAATCCCACTGCATAAAAAAATCGCTTAGTCATACTATGGCATTTCAATCGATAAATTAAATAATATCGAAGATGCAGTATATACTACTATTCATATTTTTTGTATAGTTCTCCCCCTCATAAAGCTTGAACTTGTCATAATAAGGAATATTTTACGATTTTCAAGCCAGTTTATTTATGGAAAATAAACATTTTCATTGTAGCCTTCCTATGACACAACCACCATAGCAAGATCATTTAGGCGATGTAGTTTTCCCAGTTTTTTTTTTATATTAAAACAAAACTACTAATTTAGTTTCGTCAAAGGTTTAATGGCATTATTTTGAGGATACACTTTTTCAAACAAAAAAAAAGGCAATATGAATACAAGAAAACTGTCAGATAGAAAACCTATTAGTATTTTTTGAAGTTGGTCAAAAATAAACGACTACGACCAAATACTAAAACCACGCAAACGAAGTAGCGGGCAAAAGCTAGTCATTAATAATAATAATAATCAGTTAATTATTATTATTTAAATAATAAATTGATCGCAAGGCCTAATCATTTTTAAAAAAGAAAATATTCTGATGTTTGGTCTGACCAGCAGCAATCGCTTACTGGACGTCTTGGATGGACTATAGCGTACCCTTTAATCTGTGCAGAAATTCCTAGACCATTAAAGCAACTTCTTGATCAAAGAAGTTGCTTTAATGGCCATATAATAATATAGAAGCTGCTTTAATATTGATCCTAGCTGAACGTTCGTCCATATTAAGAATATCTATATTTTTCTCGTTCACATAAACCACAGAAATCATTGAACAGAATAAAAATAGAAGTGGCATGTTGGGTGTTTTGTATAAAAACCACTGTAACCTTATATTGGATTGGAGATTGAAAACCACAAAACTAAGATGGGATTTTCATAATTTGTATGAAACTTCGTAACTTCAAATTTTGCAAATGGATTATTCTAAATTAACATAGATATAGGTTACTTTTTAACCCACGAAACGATTGACTGCGAAAGCAAAGCAGCTGTCGTGAAGCTAGTAATTAACGAAAATGAATTAAATAATACGACACAATTTTTAAGTAATACACAATATTTATTACAAATTCATTAAACATTCATCTAAATTCTTTTAGTGTTTTGTAGGCATTAAAATTTTATTAATACATACTCACATATCGTAGTTCAGGAGTAGTTTGATTTACACCTAATAAAATGATAAGTACTAAGATAAGTAGGTAGATTAAAGCTGAAAGTGCCAGTGGTAAGTTGGTACTTTCAGCACGTTCTTTATTAAATAGAACTAATAAAGCACGTAAAAGAATATAACCATTATTCTAACGCAAACTCCTAAAAATGATTGATGTATTTTAAATTCTAAATGAATTTGAATGTACATAAAGTTATTACCAGCGGCACAACCGATCTCAGTTGTGGCACAAATAACCCCCGTGGCGAGGTTGGTAGTGCCTTCCCGCCGCTATCAAGACAATATTTTTTCTTTAAAACTATTGAGGATATAGGAAATCTGTTGGTAAATTTATATTGTGCACTAAATTTGACTTATAAAATACCACAATTTTCAGACATAGTAACTTATCTGCTTGATGTAATGATTTGTAATAGATCGGCACTTTCAACCCACGGCAAGTCAAGAGAATAATGACATGTAAACACAGAATTCAGTAAAAAGTTGCAAGTTTATTAGTATTTTGTCTATTTTTTCGTTTAAATTGTTGAGCGGGGCTTTTTACAAATGTTTGGAGAAACACAAAATAAGTTAAATGCATAAGTGATGTGTTTGGCTATTTTTTCCAATTACGTGAACTAAACAGCTTACTTACTTGACTACATATGAACACATATCTAAATATAAATCATTTAAATTTAATTTAAAATTAAATTACCTACTTAACAGCTTAATGCGTGTTAATCAGCTTTACGTGTAAAGAGTACTATAAAATAGTTTTTAGTACCTAGAAGACATTAAACATAGAAAAATATTGTGACAAGGCATACTCAAGAAGATTATCTATCTTTTACGTTTTATTTTCTTGAGGCATACTAACACTTATTAATTATCATACATGAAGTTTTCGACTCTGGTGTGAGTATCAGCGACTGGCAACTAGCTTCTGAGTCGTAAGCGACTTAGTTATTCAAGAAAATGCTGTTTAAGCCGGGCGCAGGGACTTCTGTAGGTTTATTAATTAAATTATAGACACCCGACTTCGATAGCATTCGCTTGAGTAAATCGCTATTGGGATGAGAATTATATATCACTTTTTTTAAAGTTTAAAGTTGGTTGTATTTTTTTTTAATTTATGTTGAGAAATATTTATAATTTACTCTTAGCTGAGTGTCATTATTTAGAAATAAGTAATTAAATATTACACAACATAATTACATTACTCACACACTAAGTTACAGTAGCTCATGTGTTATGAAAATATAAAATAAACGACAGCATATACATAAGCCAAATTTCTTCAATATATACCAAGGAAGGTTTGAACGTTTAATATAAAAATTTATTGGGGTTGGGAGCACTCGGCGATATTTTTCCTTGTGTGTTTACCACAACACTCACACCCGTATCTATAGTCGAGTAAAAGTATTAACTTAAAGAAATATTTTTAACAAATAAACAAAAATCTTAACAAAGTGAGAACTGTTTAAAGAAAGTTAAAGTTTAAAGAAACAATACTATAATTATTAGCTATTAACAGTTATTATTAGATTCAAATTTACGTCTATTGGTTAAAAATTTCTGCTTAATTTATGAAATTTTCTCAAGTAATTACTTTTCTCCATTATAAATACGAGTGTAAGACGCAATACAATACATAAGACTTCGTTGTATCTATATGACACAAGGGAACAAATAAATAAATCACTTTTATCATATAACAGAATAGATATAGATAAAATATTTATTTAACTTTGGTAATATTTAAGTATTTGAGGAAATAATCATAAAGCAGTTGTTCTATTGATAATTGATTGAAGACTAATCTGTCAATCTGATGACCCTGATAAGATCCGAAAAATTTTCAAAAACATTGGAAAATTAATCATAAAATATTTATAATATTGTCGCTTAAGAATTCTATCAAAGTTCTCTCTCTAGAGCTGATTTCTCAACACAGCATTTGTTTTCAGTGAAGCATACATTTTGATCGTTATTTCAATGGATTTTAGTGTCGGAAAATCTTGGCGAGGAGCGACCTTTGGAATGTATTCTGGCTAAGAAACTCGGCGTGTAATCGAGGGCCGTTGTCGTTGGCCTCACTGGAGAAGGGCCATTGCGGCCTTCTAGCCAATGTGTAGTCATCTCACCCTTGCCCTGTTACAAATAGAGAAGTCAATTATTGGGTTTTAAAATACAAAAAGTGGTTCAAAAGGTTATGTAACTCAATTTTGACTAATATATATTTATAAAATTGAAATTTACCAAGAATAGTCTTGGTACTATTCTTGGTAAATTTCAATTTAGAAAAGAATAGAGTTAACTATAGAGTTTCGCGCACCAAATATTACATTACCGATAGATGGACTGCTTAACATACTACTCATCCTATAAGGATTTGTTTTTTTTTTTAGGTACGGTAACATATAACTTTACCATAATCAGTTTGTGGTTTGAATATGAAATTAATTATATTTAACATATAAAGGTCACCTTTACATCCACAACTCCTCTTGGTCTTGTTATAAATTGTCCAGTTCTATCTAAAGCTTTTTTTACGTCCTCCGATATTTGAATCTTCATCGCTGCAATCATAAAATCAATTTTTTACCTAGGTCGTAAATCTTAAGAGATATTATACATAACCAGGATTCCATGGAACTGTTGGAAAGGGTTGAATATAAACAGACTTTATCAAATCGTTGACACAGCCAAAGCGATTTGCGATATGATTTCACTTCACCAAATATCGAAGTACATATATACCAAATATCGCGAGCATTTGTATCATAAGACTTGAAGACTTCGGAGTACGCATTTTTCCCATAGTCATAATATTCTCGAGTTCCATGAAGCCTTTATACATTACTTCTCATCCAGAGAAGTTCGTACAGCCTATAATCGTTTTTCGTTTTCAATTAACGATCATTATGATCCAATGGTTATATTAAACTGGCACTAAATGTGTTATTATTCTCACGAATAAGTAGTCATAGACGCTATCTCGAAAAAAATTTAAATGGGGAGTGTTTTTATTTTTTTTTTATGTCGCAGCAATGTATCGTTGTGGTATGATTTTTTGCTGAGAAACTAGAAATTTTATTTGCCCAGGTTTTAATAGATGCATTTGAAGCAGATAGTTAAAAATTACTTTCTACTTTAATGTTATCATGCTTACAAACACATATAAACTCTCGATACCCCAGAGAGATACAGGTTAGGATCACTTCAAATACTACTTTATAAATCAGATATCCAGAGTAAATTTCGCTTAATCTACATAAGACTCACGTTCTCCAGTGCTTTCCATTCTACTGGCGGTATTGATAGTGTCACCGAAGAGACAATAACGTGGCATTTTGCTGCCAACGATGCCTGCCACGCAAGGCCCAGTGTGGATACCGCTGCGCATGCATAATGTCTGAAAAAATATCTTTAATTGCACTCGTATAAATTGCTTTGAATCTGAGCTAAATAATTATGGTGCATTTAGGGATTTCAATAGAGTAGAGCTTGACAACTTCAGCATATAATTAGGGAATTTTCATATAATTTTACATAGTAGAAGCAATATCAGGCATCTGCAATCGTAAGCACCCACGAATCCTTATTGAGCGTGTGCGATAGTTATCTCTTTGTTTCTGATGTTGTGTTTCTTACTTTTGGTTTTTCCTTTCCAAGCGGGAAGGTCAGTGCTCCAATTCCATTTCCAGCAAAGAGAATATCAAGTAGGAATTTCCGTAATTGCAACACGAAAGTACTTACAGATCCTAATGTTCTTGAAACATGTATGAGTCATCTATTAATCTTCCTCTTATAAAGTATTAATACCAGCACGGGTAGCATGACAAACTTGACAAACGCTTTGTCTACACTCACTTGTCAGTTTGTCGGGTCAAGAGTGAGATATCGTATGGGCGCACCCGAGAAAAGTGACATTTGAGTGTAGACAAAATGTTCTCGAGTTCGTCATGCTACGCGTGCTGGATGAGAGCAATTTTTTGCATAAACTTAAAATTTCACTGTTTATTCTTGATCATCAAAATGGTCTACAAGTGGTTTGTTCTTTCGGTCCAATTAAAAAAAGGCCTACAGCATTAGTTTATAGGCCGTCACTTTAGTCACAACATATTACCTAACTAGGTACCTGATCTGGCCGGTGTGGCAGCCTGCACATTGCCGTTGCTTCTAACAGCTCTAATGCCATGCTTGCAATTTCCGTTGCATGCTTGCTGCCTGTAAGTAAAATGGGTGGCTTATTTATATAAATACCAGGACTATCAATTCCAAAAGATTTTATATCAAAATTGAATAAGCACCATTCCATATTTTTACTATTGTTTATTTATGGTCGTGCTAAAATTATTATAACTCCTTTTTCTATTGATGAAGAGTGTGTTATCGATTGTGAGTGTGTGAACCAGTCCTAGCAAAAGATCAGTGCTGATAGCAGGTTCATCATTGTGCTAAGATGGAATTGTTTTGGGACGTCTATTTATACTTTTTATTTTATTTATTTTACGAAAGAATTCCCTTGAGCTTACAATTAAAGAATCCATGTAGACGAAGATATAGTATTATCTCATAGCAATTATAGTTTATGATCAGTTGACTCACCGTTCCTGACGGGCAGACCCGACGCCACCATGTAAGAATCGCCAATGGTTTCGATCTTGTATACGTCGTAACATTCTATTCGTTCATCAAACAATTTGTAGACTGAGTTCAGGAAACTTATTACCTAGAATAACGAACATTAGCTACGTGAGAATTCGAGTAAATAACTTTAAACTTGACGGAGCTTATTAGTAACGCGAATTATTAAAAGATGAGGAAATTGAAAGATAAAGAGAGCTTTTCTTTATGCATAGTATCCACTAGGAATACAATTTGCAGATAGTGACTTGCTCAAGCGACTTCGAAAGTGTAAACGCTCACTCGAGTAGATTTGTAAGTATATGCTTGGTGATTTACCTAACCTGCTGCAAGACTCATGCATATGGCTGAAAGCATAATTTCATTCAGTGAATATACTCGTCAGTTGACTTCTGCAAAGAAATTGTGGAAATTATTTCCCAGGGCTATCGGAGTTCACGTAACATAACAATCGTGAGTAGCAGTTACACATGACTAGTTGGAGTCAGGGAGAGAAGATTACTAAACGCTTTCGATTGGTGTAGAGAAAAATCGGAACGTCCGGTACTCGATAAAAATATTTCTTTTTTTCTACACAGAATTTTCGAGATACTTTTTCCTCTCTGACCCCACATTTTTTATACCAAAATCAAAGCGTTAAGAAAAAAGGGACCAACGCTACGTTTCTTCTTTTTTTATGAAATACAAAATTCTATTCACCTACATATTCTCTCTATCTATTAGAGGCTATTTAGGGGACTCACACCGACTGCAACCGTTAGTAAACGTGTGCAATGTCGTCACGAAGTAAAACTTTGTAGGGACATCTTTTTACGAAGGTTGCGCGGACGGAGGAGAATTAAATTTGACACAGTCAAATAATGAGTTCAGTACCTGATATGGTGTCGAGACAGCAGCAATAGCAGTGAATCCAACTATATCACTAAAGTATACAGTGACTGAAGCAAAAAACTCAGCTGGAACCTGCAAACCAATATAAAGAAAATTAGAATCGACTTGTTTATACATAAGTTTTATATAATACGTTTATCTTGATTCCTGTATATATTTGTTTATATTTATTTCTCTCCATAAGTCACCTGGAAGAGATCGTTATCTAGCGATAAGGTTGCTTTTTGTATATTGTTTTTGTCATGCTGTGTAAAGTGCTACTTATTCTGTGTTGTGTGGAATAAAATACATTATTATTAAAATCGTCTTCAAAAACAAAAATATAATTAAGTTGGTAATATAATCAATTGAAAAAAAATCGTCTATCCAGGAAAAGGAAATTTTATTTTACCCAGGTAGACACAACAGACATAGGTAACATACAGTTTTCAAGTGAAAATACAGATTATTTTGAAATAATTTAAAAAAAAATGTAAAGAGTTAAATAAAAGATTTTACTAATATCGCAAAAAAATTATCTGTCATATTTTCTCGTTTCACATTCATACGCACTCTTAAATATTATATAAAAATACTTAATATTCCAAGGGATTGTTTCCATCGTTTTGTAATATACTATACATCATATTCGCGTTATGAAACATCACACCAAAAAGGGATCGGAAAAGGCTATTCTTTTGAGGTCGAATAACTTTGCTACCATCTTGCGGTGTATAGTATATGTATATCGTATTATGAAGATTGAATTTTAGCTTTGCCGCTGTCAACAACAGGACATACAAAGTCTGTTGCTCGAAACTTTGTGATTTGAGGAATCTCAGAGGATTCGCTCGAAGGGTGCCCGTGTTTTTGGAAGTACCTTACTATCGTTGTCTTTCTCTCCTTTTTAGAAGCTCGTTCCTACAAAAGTGCATAATAAAATGAATGAAATGTTGATTCTAAGGAAAAGAAAACATCTTTTAAATATAATTGCATATTGAATAATTTTTGTCTCAACTATTTTTATGATAATTTTATTGCCGTTTGACTGAAAAAAAAAAACGGATTTCGCATCATTCAACCATGAATATTTTTTTGCACACATCGGATCGATGGGTACTTTTGAGAAATTTTTTGTGTTCTCAACATTCATGCCCATTTTTATCTTTGTTCTAATTAATGTAAACTTAACCGTATTTTTTTAGGTAATTTGGCTATAAGTGAATGGTAATGAAGTTGGTTGTACAATAACATAAGATTTTTCATGTATTATTTGTATATTGTACAATAGTTATTTATCCTAAATAAAATAAAAAATAAAATAATCTTTTTCATTCATGCTTTCCTGCTTTTATTTAAACATTTTATTTGGCAGAAGAGTAGTATTTGTAATATTTGCTACGTATACGAAATATCACATTAATTGGCCCATCCTTAGAAGACGTCAAGTACAAATTACTAAAAAAGTTGAATATATTCTAATTAGCTATTTTTTCCATGCAAACCCTACGAATTAATTTCGCCGATGTTTTACAAAGGATAGAAACTTCAGACCTAAAGTTCGTTATAAAGCAACTAATGTGACTAAGTAATTACTTTAAAATTGTTAATCTAAAGATTAAGTAGAACTTTTTTATTACTTCACAAAGTTTTCAACATAAATTAAGCTAGAGATGATAAAAACTTAAGCTGTTGGTACTTTTTTATGGGATTACAAAATAATATTCAACAATGTTGTAATTTGAGGCTCAGATGTCCCGAGCTTATTCAATTTTGATTAATCAAATTTACTGCTACTTAGCAACAAGAACATTTTTATAGTTTTCTTATGTTTATACTAGACATATTATCAGCAACTTTTTTATGTCCCCACTACAGGGTCTCGAGCCTTCTGTCTGCGCCGTTTATTATAAATATATATATTATTAATATTACATAACTCGTATCACAACATACAATAAAAACTATACAAACGACTCAAGCGGTAGATAATAAAACCTTTTTAAAATTCCACCCGCGCAATATAAAAAAAAAGATCTCTCTCTGTCATGGTGTCAACGCGAAAATACGCTCCTCTCGAAAAATAATCCGCTGTGTTAATATCTCACTAAAAATAAAGTGTGCTCAAAATAGTGTTGAGTGTGTTAACCATTTTTTAAAATATAATAATAAGAATTCAGAAAAAAGGAGCATGACCGTAACCTATGGAAAAAAGCTATGTAAGTCCACAAATTTTTATAATTTCAATCATTGGAAATCCTCCACCTTCCTTATAGATGCTTAAGGAAGATCGCCTTTCTCTCTGGCCCAACGCGGATGGGAGGGTATTGTCGACCGCAAATGCAACTGGGACCAACGGCTTAACCTGCCTTCGCAAGCACTGAGAAGCACGAGACAATAATTTTTGGCCACCCATCCCGTTACCCTTGCGAAAGTTACTTAGCAAAAATGGTCGCGGGCCCAGGCGCTTATCCAATACGAGCTACTCTAGTACTACACATATACACCTTTACTAATAATTAATACTCGTAAACTTTATAATAAAGGAGAATGGGCATTTTGAGCAGTTGGGAGTCACCAATGAAAGTTATGTCAAATCAGAGAAGTGATACATAGGAATTTATTAAGAACGATTCACTGTAGTCGAGTTGGAAAAAAAAAACAATAATATAATACATAAGCGCTTATTAATATTAGTATATTTGTTTGAGACGTATACCTACGTGTTGGCGATAAAACTTTCGCACGATATTTCTAGGACCTTCTTCTTCTTCTTCTTCTCAGCCATAATCAACCAATGAATTGGTGTAGGCCTCCCTCATCCCCCTCCACTTCTCTCTGTCTTGGGCAGTAAGAGTCCAGTTGCTGCCTGCCATCCTTGTGATGTCATCTTTCCAGCGCATTTGTGGTCTTCCCCTTGGTCTTTTCTGATCCCATGGTCTCCAGCCCAATATCCGCTTGCACCAAGAGTCTTCTTTTCTGGCTATATGGCCGGCCCACTCCCACTTAAGCCTTGCCACTCTACGAGCGATGTCGGTGACTTTGCTTTGGTTTCTAAGCCATACGTTCGTCTTTCGATCTCTTATAGTGACACCAACCAACTTTCTCTCCATTGCCCTTTGCGCCACCCTCAGTTTATTTATTGTGTCTTTCGTATAAACCCAAGTTTCAGATCCATATGTTAGTACGGGGAGGACGCATTGATCGAATATTTGAGCTTTTTGCTGGGCTGTTAGTTTCATTTTGAAGACAAAGTCGAGTTTTGAGAATGCTGCCCAACCCAGTCTTATCCTTCTGTCGATCTCGCTACATTGGTTTGCTTTCCCTAATTTCACTTCCTGGCCCAAGTAGACATATTTCTGAACCCGTTCTATTTCCACTCCCCCTACTTTGATCGGTAATGTGCTGTTTGTGTCGCTTGTCATCACCTTTGTTTTGTCCAAGTTCATTTCTAATCCAACTTTTAGGGACGCAACCTGTAGTTCTTGGATCATTTCCTGCAGCTCTTTCGGGGTGTGTGAGAATATGACTATGTCATCTGCGTATCTTAGGTTTGATAGATATTCCCCTGATACTGATATCCCTCTATTCTGCCAGTCCAGCTCTTTAAATACGTCCTCCAAAACCAATGTAAAAAGTTTGGGCGACAATGTATCCCCCTGTCGAACTCCTCTTTTAATATCAATGGGGTTTGTAAGTTGTGGAAGCGACACTTTCATTTTGGCGTTGTGGTAGATCTTATTTATTATATCGCTATATCTGTGATCTATTCGTGCATTCTTTAAGGAATTTTGCACAGCCCAGATTTCCACACTATCAAAGGCCTTCTTGTAGTCTATGAATGCCATCCACAACGGCATCTGATATTCAGTGGCCTTTTCTATTAGAACACGCAGTGTTAAGATGTGTTCTGCGGTGTAATAACCTTTCCGAAAACCCGCTTGTTCTATTGGTTGGTAAAAATCTAATTTAGTAGTTAGTCGGGTTGTTAGTATTTTAAAGAACAACTTATATGTCTGAGACAGCAAACTAATAGGTCTGTAGTTATTTAAATCAGTCTTACAGCCTTTTTTAAATAGTATAATTACTACAGCGCTATCCCAATCCTCGGGTATTTTTCCTGAAAGGAGGCATTTATTGAGAAGTAAGACTAAGGCCTCTAATAGCGCATCGCCGCCTTCCTTCAACATCTCGGGTAAGATATCATCATCACCACTAGCCTTTCCCATCTTCATCCTGGACAGAGCCCAAGCCACTTCCTCCTTTGTGATATCGGGGATATCCTCTGAGCCTACGTTTTGTATACTAGAGCGGTTTGTTTTACTTGGTTCTTGTCCTCTTTGGGCATATAAGGCTGAGTAATACTCCTCCACTACTTTCTGCATTTGTGCTCTTTCCATGACCAAGTTTCCTTCATTATTTTTCAGTTTTGTTATTACACGGCTTCCAGGCTTTAGCTCTTTTCTGAATACTTTAGGTCCTTTGTATTTCTCTATAATGGCTTTGACGGTTCTTTCTTTGTGTTCTTCTATATCTCTCTCTCTTTTGGTTCTCACCTCCTTACAAAGCGCCACATATTCATCCCCATGGCTTGAATAGGACATTTGACGTCTCTGCTGCATAAGCTTTTTTGTATCTTCGGACAGTTTGCTTTGATGATTTCCTACTTTTTTCGCTACAATTGATGCGGCTTCTAACATCCCCCGATTCAGGTGCTTATTCAGCTCATTAACATCTAAGTCTTCCAGCGGTTTATTTTGGATTAATGGTTTCAGTAGGGTTCTATAACCGTGAGCATTTACTGTCAGCCGTTGTTGGTCAATTTTACGTGACTTATTCTTCTTCATCGAGTTATAACGTTCCAGTTTCGCATCAATATGTAGTTTTGCTCTTATCAGACGGTGGTCACCACCGGTGTTAAATTTATTAAGGACACTTACATCTTTAATTACGTATTTATGAGAGCTAAAGATATAGTCTATTTCATTCTTATATTTGCCTCCAGGTGATATCCAGGTCCACTTTCTCTCTGGTCTTTTTTGAAAAAAGGAGCTCATGTGGTACAGCTTGTGACATTGGATAAAATTTACCAGCATTGACCCTCTATGGTTTCTCACACCATATCCAAAGCTTCCCATAAAGTTTTCGGACGGTTCTTCTTGTTCTCCAATTTTAGCATTAAAGTCTCCTATAAGAAAGGAATATGTTGTTTTCTAGGACCAAACTACAACAAAAACTATCTTGGTAGCGGTGCGCCCAGACGTCATACAATTTTGCCCATTCTACTCTTTTTGCAAGTATGTATTATTCTGTTTATTTACCTGTTGTGTCTGCTTCAGCTGCTTGGCAACGCTCGGTGGTAACATCTGGTAGAGCAGGGAGTCGCTCAACTCTTTCTCGTGTTCCAACTCTCTAGCTTTCTCAGACAGATTTCTGGCATACACCTGTTACGAAGTGCAGAAAGGATAAAAATATATTAAACTAGCTCTCTGCCAGAGGCTTTGCGCGCGTGGTCTAGTTTTCATACTTGTAAGTGCAGAAATGAGAAAATACATATCGACGGTAGAATGTAAAGAGTTACCAAGCGCCATATTGCAAATTTTAAAGTCGTCGTCTAAAGATTTATGTTTTATAAAAAAAAAATCGTAGAAAATTAACTATTATAGGTATTTTTAAAAATCCAATAGATTTTTAAATTATTTTAAATTGGCTTTATTAGTAATATATTACAAAGAAATATTTCTGTATATTTTGCAACGAAGAGGCGTTTGGTGACAATTTACCTGAAATAAGAAGCAGGTAAAAGTTACCAACCTACAAAAATATTTTATCTTTCAAGCTGGCAAAGATGTCCAAATTATTATTTATTTTCAAAAGGTTTGAAGTGAAAAGGGACAAACAGTGAATTATTTTTTGAATTGAACAAACAAAGAAGTCTAACTTTCTTAAAATTGTATTATTATAAGAAGCAAAGTTTCCTATTCAACATATCAAATTATGTAAGTGTTAGTAATAATTATCTGTCACCAAATAAATTTGACCTAGAGTTCAAAGCAAATTGAAAAAATGAGACATCCAAACAATAAAACAAAAAAAGAACTTTACCGGCTCTGGCTCAACAAAATAGTCTTTTGCGGACTTTATTCAATCGTTTTTTATATCGATCCTTTTCCTTTGGTATTTACTCGTGCTAAAATATAAAACATAAGATGTCACCGCGTAACTACTTATTAAATTAGGTACATTTATTCATTACATAAATTAGACAAGTAAATAAAATTTAAATATTATATCAATATAACTTACCGATGCTGAATCGTTACTTTCAACACCAGAAATTAATAAAACTCGGTCATTTATGTCATCTACTCGCCGAATGCGATTCATGTTAAACTAAAAGATTTAATTATGTTTAAAAAATCTATTACTCAAATAAACAGAAACACAAATTAGCTTGAAGATAATACTTTCAATACATACAAAGTGTCGTGTCACACAAGACAGTCCTAAGGAACCTTCTGATAGAAGAACCTTCTGAAGTCCTAAGGTCCTTAGCGACAATGGAAAGACGACTGATCGATAAAACCATTACCATTCACCATACTAGGTATGATTCTCAGCGCGGACAAGCGACAACGCGTCAAGTGTTTGTTTGAACTAAATACATTAAAATCAAATATTTTTTTCAGTAATAAGTATCCAAGTAACACAATTCACGAATAAAACGGTAGGTAAAAAGGTACCAAGCGCCATATATTATCCTAATTTCGGCAAGTAAAAGTGACTATATTGATCTTCGATATGACTACGGTTTGTCAAAAATTACTAAACGACAGAAAAAACATCTCAAAGATTTGTAAAAGAGTCAAAAATACCATAAATAAATAAATGTATTTCAGGTAAAAATTCCCGAGTACCAATTTGATATTAACAGTGGACAGGCAGAAATTACTTACTGTAGAGTGAATTAAAATTATGTAAATGCTAAAATTACCAAGTGAAAAAAAATATCAAGTAGATATCACCAAATACCTAGTTTTTTAAAACGTGTCAAAATGTTGTCGCTTGGTCGCCGTAAACAAGAAAAATACCTGTAGTTATGGAGTTCCTAAGCGACATCAAAAGTGTTCGTAGAGACATGGGACTAAGACTAATCGATAGAGAAAAATTCGCTGATTCCGAATATATAAAAAACTCATTTTGGCCCCTAATGTCGCTTGGTAACTTTTTTCATTCCACCGTCGATATATACTCGTAAAATTAATTTTGTGTTGGACTGGGTTTGGTTAAAAGAAGACTTGGTACGGTTGCCTGGAAGGTATCGCTTTTTAGCGATAAGGCTATCGAAATTTTCATTTGTATGTATTTCTGTTTTGCTCTTAAATCAAGGAATCAAGTGATATGTTCGGATACCTAGACAGTCAGTATCCGCGGTGCGTAGTAATGCAGTAATAAAATCGGCTACTAAGTATCAGAGCTTAGCTTATAGATAAAATGCAAACTACATGCTCGCAGACAAGTGTTTAGTTTGAACATAGCCTTATTAACAGAAGTTATTAAATACAAACTTTGTCTATTTTCGAATTAAGAATTTAACTCTCAATTTATTCTCTGAACAAGAGTAGGTTCAACAACAATCGGACCAGTTTTAACCGTCTCAAAGATTTAAACCAGTGTTTGAAGAATACAGTCGTAGAGAAAGTTCCTAACTCAGACTAACCTGTATGGTGTTAACGGCGTTGGTGACTAATGCTATAATGATGGGCGACACGACGCACACCAGTATCAGTATACCAGCGCATACTGCTTCGCTACGCCGGGCTTCAGTCAGACTGTCTGTCACTCCATTTCTGAAGGAGTGACGGACGTGTTATACAGGGTTATGGGTAATTAGACCGGATCCTTTTAAGGGGTCGTAGGGGAGGTCATTTATAATTATTTTCACCCCACATTGTATATCCGAAAAATATATGTTTTAAATGCACTTTTGTTTATTTACAACAACAAAATACTTTTTTTATTTTTTTATTTTAAACTCTGTAGTTTCTGTTTGGGTCAAGATTAATTGGGTTTTATTATTATTTATCAGGAACTGGAATGTAATCTCTTCAAAATTGTCAATGAAATTAGATTACAACCATATTTTTTTTTCCTTTTATAAGAAAGAAAAATAAATTTATCACAAAAATGGCTCACTTTCGGGTTCATAATGTGAGGTGAAAATAATTATAAATGACCTCCCCTACGACCCCTTAAAGGGATCCGGTCTAATTACCCATAACCCTGTATAACATTAATAAATAAATAAATATAAACATCATCACATACATCGCTCAGATGACATGAGTATCCGAGACAACGAAGGCAACACCCAAACTTGAGATAGAAAAGTCCTTTTTTATAATTTGATCAGACCGAGATTCGAACCCGGCACCTCAGAGATGACAACATCTTAATGCCGGCTTGAAAACCTCTCGGTTATGGATGTCGTAATGTGAAATATCAGTGAAGTAAAATGAGATTTAACGCACTCGAAGATATTAGATTTGCGTCATAAAAATAATGGAGAAAAGCGGAAAGCTTTTACGTCCCCACTGCAAGGGCTTAGGCCTCATAGATGGTTAAGGAGGATCGGCCTCCACGCTGGCCCAATTCAACCTGCCGTTTTGTAAAAACCAAATCCGAATTCGTCCAATTCACTTCAAAAAGCATGATCAGCTCAACCTTGAACTGGTAATAACGTTTCGTGGCATAAGTGAAGTGAGTTTCGAAATGACATAGGAATAGAATATCTGAGACACGTTTCAATCAATTTTGTTTTGTATTTTTATACAAAAAATTGAATCAATAGAATTTCTACACAAAATGACATTAATACGGACATATGAGTGAATTCAGGTCTCGATTTTTACAGAATCGCAGGGCTGATTGAAGGAAATCAATCGGGACCAACGGCTTAATGTGCCTTCTGAAACATGGAGTAGTTCGAGATAATATTTTTTGGTCATCCATCCCGTGACCGATCCTTGCGTAAGGTGCTTAAAAACAAATCTGAGTCGTACTCCCAACTCGCGAGGGACAGCCCTTTTCAGGGCGGGCCGAAATGGGGGCGAACGTATGGCGTGGTGTATGGTCTCCGAGCCGATCCCGTGCATCGCCTTCCATGCGAAGGACATCGCTGAGTTTTAGTGGGTAAACTCCTGCTTCTTGTCTAGCCCCCTTCGGGGGTGTAGCGGGTACGCGTAACGTATTTCTCAGCGGCAGAAAAAAAAATGTTGCTTAAATACAGTGGCACGGCGTTGTACACTACGCCATCGAGCTACTTATTGCTCTTTAATGAGGAATAAAAAGAAACAAAACTAAAAAGTTTGCTGTATTAAACTTGAAATCGCGTCTGGATTCAGAGCGAATTTGCCGATTCAGGACAGTTTGTAAATGGATACCAAGCCGCTCGACTGGCATTAGAGAAGAGCTTCCACGCTACAGAAAAACTTAGGTACGAAAGCTCTCTAAACTGTTCATTTTACAAAACGTGAGTGGATAGCAAGAACTACGCTAATTATTAATTGAGAAATTTCTACATGACTAAATTTAGTTTTTTATTTATCCCAAGATTCCTAAAAGTAATTATTTTCTTGAGAAGTAAAGGTTTCGCTGTTGATTTAATTAACAAAATAGCGATCATTCAAAAAAGTTCCTAAGGAAAGTTATAAATAAATATAAAATTTACATTACATAAAACCATTAAAGTGGGCCGGGGGCTATTTAAACATAAGCTGTGCGCAAGAAATTAACTTTCCTATTGGCAATTTGGAAATCGTTTCATAACAAATGTGTATTATAATTTTAAGTTTGTTGATTCCCAGTAACCAGTATTCTATAATTACAGTAGGTAGTTCATCATCATCATCAGCCCTTTAACGTCCCCACTGCGGGAGCTCAGGCCTTCCTTATGGATAGTTAAGGAGGATGAGTCATGACCCTCCACGCTGGCCCATTGCGGATTGGAGGGTATTAACGACTGCAAATGCAGCCGGGACCAATAGCTTAACGTGCCTTCCGAAGCACGGAGTAGCTCGAGATAATAATTTTTTGGTCACCCATCCTGTGACCGACCCTTGCGAAAGTTGCTTAACGACAACGACCGCGGGCCGCGGCGCTTATCCACTAAGCCACCGAGCTACTCGTAGATACTAGTAGGTAGTTAAATAAAACTATTAACTTAATATATTGACGTAGTTGCTTTTGCACTGCTCTCAGTTTGTCGAGCAATGTTGCTGTCTGGTCAAAGTACTCGATGGCGTCAGCAACACTGCCATCCTGTTGCTTGTTGTCCACTATTTGTTGATTCCTGTATTAAAATACCGTTATTGTGTATACTTGAATATAATATAATAAGTTATACTAAATATAGTGTTTTGTTTTACTGTGCGTTATGAATTTATGTAAAGGTCGAGATTGACAGTAATGGTGTTTGTGTTAAGCTTTAGTTTAAATTTATATGAAAATAAGAGATGTGTTCGATCGATCGTGGGGTGGGAACCTGGTGATTTATTATTTCAGGCTTAGCCTACTATAGACACCAGTCTCCCACAAATTAACGTGTAAAATAATCAACAAAATAAAAATGTACGTACCCATATACGTGTAGTATGTGAATTTGTGAGGAGAAATAAAGATATTTATTATTTATTTACATAGTTTCATGTTATTAAAATATAAAATGCTACATGTCCAAAACAACAGAGGACGCGTCTATTAAATTTTATACCGACATTGGTGCCAGTTCAATTGTACCATTTTCTAAACTAAACTAAATAAAAATCTAAGTTAAGTTATACAAATACCTACAATACTGTAATATAATAAGTTTATTTCTATTTGTAATAAGGATTCTGCCTTAATTATTTTCACAATTGAAAAGTTTTTTAGGACTTTAAAAATAACCCAAATTTAATCTGCACAAACTACAACAGAAATACTATCATTGTATTTCAGGTCTACTTTATTTTTTATATTTTACTAGGAACGCTGTCTGCGTCCACTCCCAAAATACTATTCAGTGTGTACATCTCTAATACGTTCATTTTACCGTAGTTTGTTAACTTTGATATAAAAAATTCTCCCTTTTGTATTTATAAATATTAGCATTATAATCTATACCATGTTATGTATACCGAATTGCGTTTTACGCCTAGATGGTTTCCGCCTCATTAACACTGTTTCATGGTTTTCATACAAAAGAATCGGCATCTTCTTTTCTGTTCTGTGGTCTCCTACACCCTCTATTCTTTGACAACTATTCTTGTCAAAAATTTATCTTTATATCCTATAAAATATATATCTCGTTTCTTAGAGCGAGAATTAGAGCGAGAATTAGCTGTAGTCGGGGTAGTTAATTTTCAAAATCGCAAGCAAAAGCTATATATGTTTTTATGAAATGTGCTATTGAAGCCCTATCATTTGATACCCTACACGTAATAATTGAATAATATATAATCTTTGTTTCTTACTTAATGTTATCTAGAGGGCGCTGTTGCCAATTTAATGTAACGTCACATTGCCTATAGCACGCGGACAACTAATACGCTTTTAAAGACACTTCATTTGTCCACTAAAGATGAGTAGTTTTGAAGAGATGAACATTACTGTCTTTGATATCGATCCTTACATTCGATCAGGCGCTACCTCCTCTTTCAGAATACTTACTTCTTCTCCAAAACTTGATATTCCGGACTGTCTTCTTTGATATCAATGTGAAGCGGTATGAGTGATGGAACCAAGTTCAGCGTGCTGTCCAGCAGATCTCTACCGAGCACCATGTGAGCTATATACCTGATTTAAGCACAATATAACCGCTTAAATTTTTGTTCGCCAATAGTAGAGAAAGTCAAAACTATTGGACCAGTTTTAATCAATATAAAGCTACATTTAGTCACGACAAGTAAAATAGGTCGTATTTTATAAATTGTAGATAATGAATATTTACGGATCGAAATTGTAATGAGACTGTAAAAAATTGTAAGAGAGATACTAGATTGTATGCAAAAACCTCACAATATTATACATGTATCATCATTTATAATAAAGAGTCATCGAATATGTATTATTGTAGACATCTTTTATTTAAATGAACCTTTTAATTGTAGCTTTATGTTTCAAGTTATTTTCTTAATCATTTATAAACTTAATACGTGTACTTCTTTTAAATTTAAATCTTATTTAAACTTGTCTAATATCACAACAATAGAATAATTTCATTATATTTTAAGAAAAGCGAATAATGACAAAGAGCAATGTTGAATATAAAATGCAATTATGTTGACAAATACCCCTCGGGTATCAGGTGTCTTCTTATTATATAACCAATTTCAAAAGCAATGATTTTTATATTTAACTAGCTGTTCTTGCAACTTTGCCAGCGTAAATTATGATGTATATTTCGCGTTTCATGTAACTTTCCAAAGATGGAAGAATTTTCTTCAGTATTCTCGAAGATAATGTTATTATATATATTTTAACTGTCCCTATTATATTTATATACCTCCTGACTATTTGACTTTTCATTGCTTTCATTTGACTTGACTTTTGATCGCTTGACGAAATTTACATGTAGCGACGACTATTTATTTCTTGAAAAAAACATAGTTCCGTGATCTCCGGTCACTTATCACTTTTATCAAATTAGCGTCGATGACTGGAGAGATGCGCTCACGCCGAAAGGCCGGTAAGTAAATCTACTTTGTGTTAAATACTAAGTAGATTTACTACCGCTAATTTAATACCGCTTAGTGTTAAATAAAAAAATCTGGTCTTCACCTCTCATGGGATCTCGGTTGTAGAAAGCCTCGGGCGAAATAATTTATGCCAAGCACTGAAGCTATGCCTTTACATTCAATGCTGCGGAGGAGATTCTTGAAACCCACCAAATACCTGAGAAAAACAATATATCTAATAATATTCTCAAATTTTAAATGATAGCACTTTGATTGTCAGTTAGAGAAACGACGACTTCGACTTCGTCCGCGTAGTAAGTAAGCTAGAGCTAGTCTCGCCAAAATAGGTCCCGTCGTTACAGGGATTAGCCAGAACAAACCGACAGAAATAAATTAAAAACATGTAATTTTGGTAATGTTCCCGATACAAAACAACATATGGATTTAGTTTTAATTTTACCGTCATACACTCCAATTTTATTTCTTTGTAGATGTCGACTTAAAGCTCTATAAATGTTATTGCCATTCTAATTTTTTGATGTAAACATTTAGAAATGAATTAAAATGTATTTTTATTAAAACTGATGATGAATTCTAAAGTTTTAGTTCTCTTCTATAAGTCTAATGTAGTCGTTGAACTTCATACTCCTGTAATAGTATAATAAAGGGGATTAAAAAAAGCCTCCTCACTAATAGATATCACTAATAGAGGGAATGACACATCCTCTATTAGTGATATCCATAGTACTGACATAATCAACTTTATTAATTATAATTAATTTTATCGTCACAACAGAACTATAAAAATAATGACAGCATCCAAAAGAGTCTCTTAATCAAAATCATTCAATTACTATACAACGCTCTAATTAAACCGCAGATAACGTATGGCTCCTTTCTTCGGTGGCCCAGAACAAAACTAACAAAAGCCATAGAAAACCTCGAGAAGTTTCAGAGGGCGTTATGTTGCGCCATTGCTGGATGTGTGCGTGCGTAGCTATAATGTGCCTCCCGACACTTGATTTTCCATTCAATAAGCTGCTGCGGGGTCGACTATATACGTCGAAACTATTAAAAGAAACGTGGGGAAGGTAACAAAACGATTCTGAAGGTATTCATTGAATTTGAGCCACTCAAAGAAGCACTGATTGACACATACATAATTTTCGGAGTATTTCTTAAAAGGACTTGGCTGAGAAAAAAACTTATCAAAACTAAAACAAGGTAATAAGAATTCTATATAACATAATCAAATTGATTTGTTGCTATGAGCTCTAATAATGAATCAAAGCTTAATACAAAATTTGAAATCTATAAGACAGAAGCTTTCTTACGTATGCTGTAGACTCTCAAGTGATTATTAATATGTCCCAGTTTCAAACCGATTATCCCGTGACGTCATCGACACTTCACGATGAGATCGTGTTTGCAATTTCTATTGATATTGCTGGATAGAGTTTGTTTAATAGAATATATTCTTTTCGATTTTAAAATTACCCACTGTTTATTAAAAACGTATCAGTCTTCACCGACAAATACGTTTTTCAAATATAAAATGATTTTTCAAGCATTTGTTATTTTTTCGCTGCTACAGAGTGTATTTCCATTAATGTTCAGGCAATAAGAATATTATACTTCATCATCATCATCATCATCAGCCCTTTTACGTCCCCGCTGCAGGGGTTCAGGCCTTCCTTATGGATGGTTAAGGAGGATGGGCCATGACCCTCCACGCTGGCCCAATGCGGATTGGAGGGTATTAACGATTGCAAATGCATCCGGGACCAACGACTTAACGTGCCTTCCGAAGCACGGAGTAGCTCGAGATAATAATTTTTTGGTCACCCATCCCGTGACCGACCCTTGCGAAAGTTGCTTAACGACAACGATCGCGGGCCGCGGCGATTATCCACTACGCCACCGAGCATTATACTTATATTTATTTCATTAGTCTTACCTCCACAAAGTGCTACTGTCTGTATCCTTGATTTCCTTGGTGAGATGGTTGAGGAGAGCCGCGTTTGCATTGGTGTACCATTCAACTGCTTCTGTCATAGATGTACCAGCGTTTATGCTGGCCCTAGAAAATTATAACGAAAATGTTTATTAAGACTCATAAAAAGATAGCTTACAACCATGAATGTCGCGTCTAGACAAGTAAACCCAAGCTGTAATACACTCACTTGGGACATCCCGGTCAATAGTAAAATATTTTACTAAGTATTTATTTAGTTATTTTATTGCTAGCTTTTCGCCAACTATATCACCCGCGTGGTATCTAGGGAACTAGGGACCGCGTATAGTAGCCTATATGTTAATTAAGGCTTAGAATTTAGTAAAATAATTAATTTGGATGAGGATTCATTTCATGATATGGATATATTTACAATGGCAAATTGAATAGTAGTACACAATGGTTACAATAGTAACGTTTTAATTTTAGAATTTTAAAAATCGGTCCAGAAGTTTCGGATTCTGTTCCCTATAAACAAACAACCAAAATGTTCCCCTAGTTTATTAAGATCAATACTACAAATAAATAAAATGGGGTGTCTAACCGCTTTCTAATCAAAGTATATGTATGTATTCATGGTACATATACCAAAATAACATTGTTTACAAATTTTCTCTCTCCGACAATTCGGATTGGAGGGTATTATCGAATGCAAATGCAGCCGAGACCAACGACTTAACGTGCCTTACGAAGTACGTTGTAACAGAAATAAATATTACTTCAAGTAAACCAATATGCCTAACCGAAATTATCCAAAACTTTTATTTCGGTTATGGTTACGGATACGGATATTGTTTTATTTTAGATACCTGATAGTTTCGGTTTCGGTTACGGAGTTCCATAACATCCCTGGCATGCTCGCATATGCGGTTAATTCATAGGGAAGGACTGAACCATAGCAATGGGGACTTTAGTAGGGTGGTGATAAGCACCGTTTTCAGATGAATTCATAACTAAAATATGACATCTATAATTTTTTCAGTGTATGTATTTGGATCTTTTTCCTGTGCTCAAAAATTTTGTCGTTGACTGTACTTTTCCAGACGGCACAACTATTTGTGAATTCCGTGTTAGCGCCGAAAGAGTTACTCAAAGCAGTACTTGTAAAACCATTTCAACAAAGAAACTTATATTGCTGTAATTGAAACAAGTTTTAGAATGAAGTCATTCTAAATTTAAAGTGGTAAACTTTAGGCGCTCTCAGTAATTTAGTCTGTGAATACTTATAAAATTTCAGTTCTTTGAATGGTCTTCTCTTTAGAATACCATGATTTATATTTTCGGTAGAACAGAATAGATTTTCACATCTAAACTAATATTATAAAGTGGAAAGATATTATTTTTTATTGCATTGAAGAGGAACTAAAACTGATCGACCGATTTTGAAAATAATTTCACCTAGAGAGTTACAACGTATGAATATTAAGGAAAAGCAAAACGTTCATAAAGACCTCGTTTACTTACCCCACAAGGGATCGAATCATTAACTACAATACATAATTAGAAAAAAAATTATAATAACATATATTGAAGAAAACACAAATATTACAATTAATGTAATAATTATCAAGTATAATATTATTTTTTCATCCTCCCATCTCGGAAATAGTAATAGTGCTTTTCGATATCTGAGTGCAAAAGCCATTTTTATCTTCTAGATAGATAAAGTTAAATGAATATAGAACTCGTGTGCACTAATTTTCAAATATCCACTTTGTCTCTGGTATTTTTTAAGTATTTTTCATTAAGAAGTATATTTTGCAGTATAGTATTGTGAAGGCAACTTTGGTCAAGTATAATAATCATGAAGGTAGAAACAAATAGGTTTACTATTTGTTTCTACATCCATGGTGCAGAATATATCATACAACCTTTTTTAATTTGTTAAAAACTCCGGACGATGTCGAGGATTTTTATAGCGTCATTTTTTGGGAAATGTTCTGGATAACGTCTGACAAGCATACCCATCTCTAAAATATACATACTTGTCAAGGTTATCACTTGTAATTTTCGAAACAGAGGTCGACATGAGTCCATGGGTCCTACTCCACAAATGGCTCTAATGCATTTCTTTTTTTTAACATAACATCAAAAAAACTTCAAAAAAAGGAGGAGGTTGTCAATTCGACTGTATTTTTTTTCTTGTTTGTTACCTCAACTTTTTACAAGGTGGACTGATTCGATGATTCTTTCTTTATTTGAAAACTAGTGCTTGCCGTGTCCCATCTTAATTTGGTCCAGATATGGCAATGGCATCTATGAGAAAACCATATAAGTCTTAAATTTGCATTAAATATGCGTGGTTTGTTACCCCAAAAGTCAAACTTTCCGCCCTAATTCAAGGTTTCTTAAAACAGTTAACCGCTTTTAAGATAAGTATTAATTTTCAATTTTTAAATTTGAATTCGATTTATTTTTTTAAAAGTTTCCATTGTATTCTATGCAATAATCGTTTATCTTTATTACTGAAATTTCAATTTGCTGAAGTACCAGCCCTGTGGGTTTCTTTAGATCGAAACGTTTAATTAGTTAGCGGCACAGTAGAGATGTGCCAATCTATCCGGCTAATCCTCATGATAAATGAAGGATGCTATTTATATGTCTACAATGTTCGAGCATAGACATATTTTTCTATTCATTTGTGTGTGACCAACTGTAAGGTTTCAGTGATACCGCTACCTTTGGTTCCGTACCCAAAGGGTAAAATGAGAACCCTATTACTAAGACTTCGCTGTCTATCTGTCTGTCACCAGGCTGTAATATCAAGAATCGTTAAAGTTAAATAGTTGAAATTTTCAAAGATGTATTTCTATTGCCACTCCAACAAAAAAATATTATAAACCAAC